GCGGCTGTGTTCATCAATCGATCCATATGCGCGGTTCTTTACTCCTTCAGACCCAACCAGTGGTTGGATGGTTAGTAGGGTGGCGTTGCCCCCATCTCATCAGGGATCAAACCTCTTGTTTAACGCTTTGGAACGATAAAACACTTGTAACTACTCCTAGATTACCGGCATTTCGCGACGAAGATGGACGGTGAGAGGGAAGGAGGGGGTGAGGAGGAAAGGTGGAAAGGGGGATGCCATCCCTTAGGCCGAAGCGCTCACTTTCCATTTTACAGCCCAGCCCACGACGAGTAAGAAAAGAAACCAAAGCGAGCACAATTATTGCCTTCCGTACTCTGGAAACCGCTAAAAATAATAATCCCAGCGCAAAGCAAAGCGACTCGACGCCGCACCCACTCACACTCCGACACACAGGCAGCACAGCACGCCCGCCGAAATCCCGCCGCCGGCCGCCGCCCCACGGCCGACCGTCGGTTCGACCGCGGCTGCTGGACCGGACCCTTGCCGGAGCGGAGGCACATGCGGCGGCCGCATCCCCGATGATGACCGCCACCCAGCCCCTCCGCGGCGCCCTGCTCCTGCTCCCGGCGCTCCTCGTCGCCGGCGTCGCGGGCGGGGCGCCGTCGCTGGAGTTCCACCACCGGTTCTCCGCGCGCGTGCGGCGCTGGGCGGACGCCCGCGGGCACGAGCTGCCCGGAGGCTGGCCGGCGCCCGGCGGCGCCGCGTACGTCGCCGCGCTCGCCGGCCACGACCGCCACCGGGCGCTGTCGGCCGCCGGAGGAGGGGGCCGCCCGCCGCTCACCTTCTCCGAGGGCAACGCCACGCTGAAGGTCAGCAACCTCGGATTGTAAGCGCCCCCAGCTGTTGCTACCTACCCCCTCTCGCGATTCTGTGTGCTTTTGGTTCTTCAGAATTCAGATGCTGACTACTGTCTGCGGTTTTCTGGCTGTAGCCTGCACTATGCGCTGGTGACGGTGGGCACGCCGGGGCACACGTTCATGGTGGCGCTCGACACCGGCAGCGACCTCTTCTGGCTCCCCTGCCAGTGCGACGGCTGCACGCCGCCGCCCTCTTCGGCCGCCTCCGCACCGGTAACACCTCTCTCCTCCTCACAGTTTCGCTCCCTGGATGCAGATGGGCGTCGCCGCATATCATAACGCCGAGTCTGAATTCACACGCGGCATGTTTATATCGCATTCTGTTCCCATTAAAAATTGCTCCGCCGTGTGTCCTAATAAGGTGGCGAAACTGATGCAAAGTGTAAATTCAGAAGCTCAATGTAGTAGGCCTGTTTGATCCTGTAGTCAGGGGCCTGCCTGTGGTATCATCATCTCACACTCCATATGCGTGACTATGAGGCAATATTTTGCATACAACACCGTCTGATCTGGCAGCTCAGCAGTTACTGTCAAGTGGCATGAATTTCACTGCAATGTTGTTTACCCCAAGTATAATTAATATCTCAAATTTCAGCCTCTCCTATCTGCTGTGCTGCCATTGTGGACAATTATGGTTGTCACAGTCTATGCGTGCGAAAGAAAATGTGTTAGATGTGTATCGTTAATGTGTATATCAGCACTGTTTATCTGAACTCTTGAATAGTGATAAAATTGCTTACATGATCATTTCTCATGTAACACTGATCGGTGGTGATGAGTTACGGGGTGAATTTTCAGTGTTCTTTGACTGTTCGTAGTTAATTTTTTTTTTATAAAAGGGGACATCCCCGGCCTCCTGTTCGTAGTTAATCACATGCCGGTTCTTTTCTACTGTGTCATTATTCTAGGTGCAGTTAACCATGGAGAATAAGAAAGGTCTGAAGTGTAGATCTACAGTTCTATGAACTTTCCATTTTCGTTTGCAACTTGTTTTATGTTCCGTTGATCATGGACTGGTTCAAACCGCATAGATCTGAACTGTACTGAAAGAAAATTCTGGAGTCTTTTCTACATAAATTCTATCGACTCATGTTCTTGTTTTACCGGATTGTTGAAAGAATTACCCGACCAAGTTATTTTGCATACATAAGTAACACCCTTCTGGGTTTTCTCTTCTTGTTTGCAGAGCCTCTGTTCGACAGTTAATATTCAGGTCTAGTGGTAGTCTGTTTTACGGTGGTTGCAGTCCTTAGCACTACAAACATATGGTGTAGGGGTCATTAGGGACAGCAGTCACAGCACAGTTATGCCCAAAATTAATCTTCATACCTTGACCTCTGTTCATTGTAAAAACGTTTTTCTTTCCTCCCCCCCTCTCAGTAGTGTCATTTGTGATATGGGAACACACTTATTATTTAACCTTTTGTTGTCACCTTGCTGTATGCCTGCATTTTTCTGTTTTTAGACTTTCATTTTTCTACTTATAGTTATTAATTTTCTGAGATTTCAGGCTTCGTTTTACATCCCTTCTCTGTCATCAACAAGCCAGTCAGTTCCTTGCAATAGTGACTTTTGCGGTCTTAGAAAAGAATGCTCTACAACATCAAGTTGTCCATACAAGATGGTGTATGTCTCTGCAGACACATCATCTTCTGGATTTCTTGTTGAGGATGTGCTTTACCTATCAACAGAGGATACTCGCCCTCAATTTCTCAAGGCACAAATAATGTTTGGGTAATATTTATTCTTTATGTGGTGAGATGAAAAACATTATTTTCAACTTTTTTGATAAACTTTGATCTGTTTCATTTTTATCAGTTGCGGAGAGGTTCAGACTGGCTCATTTCTGGATGCTGCTGCTCCAAACGGTCTTTTTGGACTTGGGGTGGACATGATATCAGTTCCTAGCATTCTAGCTCAGAAAGGTCTGACATCAAATTCCTTCTCAATGTGTTTTGGCCGTGACGGTATTGGGAGGATCAGTTTTGGAGACCAAGGCAGCACAGACCAAGAGGAAACACCACTCGACATCAATCAGAAACAGTGAGCAAAATTTATCCATTTACCTGGCTTACAATTAGGTATTGTGTTTTTTGCCAAGTCCATTGCTGTCGGCCTCTTGTTAATTTGGCCCATCTGGGATAATTTCTTGTTTTCCAGCCCCACATACGCTATCACCATCACTGGCATTGTTGTTGGAAATAACATAATGGATTTGGAAGTTAGTACTATTTTCGACACAGGGACATCCTTCACATACTTGGCGGACCCAGCATATACATATATAACAGATGGTGTAAGTAAATTTTCTGTCTTGGTTTGGTCTTGCTTCAATAGGGGAATATTCATGCTGTAATTTCTCGTTTTCAGTTCCATAATCAAGTTCAAGCCAATCGCCATGCCGCTGACTCAAGAATCCCCTTCGAATATTGCTACGATCTGAGGTTAATTTATGTCGCATATAAATTTTATAAGAACCATTAGTCGTATGTTTTGTCAATCCATGACTAAAATGACCAAGGTTAACTTGTGCAGCTCTAGTGAGGCAAGGATTCAAACTCCTAGTATAAGTCTTAGAACAGCAGGTGGGAGCCTGTTCCCTGCTATTGATCCAGGGCAGGTTATCTCCATTCAGGTATTGCGAGCCTCAGATTGTGCAATTCTCTTAACAATAGGAACAGGCTCAGATTATGTAACGATCCCGCTGGCTTTGATATTTGCAGCAACATGAGTATGTTTATTGCTTGGCGATTGTCAAGAGCACGAAGCTAAACATAATTGGACGTAAGTTTACTGCAGAACCATTACTTTGGGACTCTTCTGTTGCATTATCATTGACGCTTCTAAGCATTTTTACAGTGTCATTTTTGCACTTTTTTTTTGTATCCTGAGAGCATTGGCAAGAACAGATTATCTGTTGTAATTTCGTCCCCAGAACTAACCAACCTCCGCCTTGTTCAAAACCAAAGTCATCTTGGTTTTTCAGCACTAGCGAATTCTTTTCACTTATGACGGTAACAGAACAGGCAATTCAGTTAGGCATTTCACATTCTTTTCTTTTGCCGTGATTGCCAGTATGAACAATTGCAAATCTTTGTAGTGGGCATACAGTTACTTGTCTTAAATCATCTCAATATATCATGTGCTGTGAAACAATGTTCTAAACTGTGATAACATCATGTATGGGCTTGGGATATAGCCTATCTGAATTATATTATATACTACATAGTATATTCCTAATTGTGGGAAGCACATTCAATAGTTGTTAACAGTCAAGAAATGGTGCAGAAAACTTCATGACCGGTGTCCGCGTTGTATTCGACCGAGAAAGGAAGATACTTGGCTGGAAGAAATTCAACTGTAAGCAAACCGTTATGAATGCTTTGTTTCTTCATAGAAAGTCATTTGCTTATTATGCTCATGCTATGTTTGTTCTGTGAACATGCAGGTTATGACACCGATAGCTCAAACCCTCTCTCCATCAACTCACGGAACTCGTCGCGCTCGACGCCCGAGAACTACTCTCCCCAGGAGACGAAGAACCCAGCCGGTGCTTCCCAGTTGAGGCACGTCAGCAGCTCCCCTCCTGTGGTGTGGTGGCACAATAATAGCCTACTTTTGTTTATGTTTGTGTTCCTCCATTGCCCAATCTTCTAATTGGCATTGGAGTGACATGATTGCAAATTAGTATATATAGATACACTAGAGACTGACTAGGTTAGCATAGACAACGAGCACCACTTACATGTACAAATCGTCTATTCTGTCTAGATCATCAAGAAAATAACCGTCCCAGGTTCTGACTTCAGAGTGGAATAAACAAGGACATGGTTTTACATCTAGATAACAAGCAGAATTAACTCCCGGAGATGATTTCGTCAGAAGTATCCCAGGATTGCAGTGTGATTTAAAAGATTCAGTTTCTATTGTCTGAGGCGCTGTCTGAATAAACAAGGAACATGGTTAACATTCAACTGAGATAACAAGCCGCCATCGTCGTCAAGAAGCACCAAATCCGGCCACCGGAGAGAGTAGTGCTCAAACTGAAGCACGCAACACAAAACAACAGCGGAAACCACTCCAGTGCTGCAGCGATTTCAGCGCTGGAGTCTTCAACATTTTTCACTCATCAGGTGACACCAGCACGCCGAGCTTGCTGCCGGGGGTGGCCGGAACCCCGTCGAGCTCGCCCTCGCCGTCGAACTTGCCGAGCGGCGACGAGAAGTCGAGCCGCATCCCCTGCATGATGGCTTCCTCGTAGGAGGCGGTGAGGAGGTGGTCCTCCTCTTCTTCTTCCTCCTGGGCGGTGAGCTGGTGGTACTCCACCAGCTGCACCAGGCTCTGGTTCTCCCGCGCCAGGTTCGCGTTCTCCTGCGCCAGCCGCGACTTCTCCGCCAGCAGCGCCTCCAGCTGCAGCCGAACCTGCCACACCATCAGAGGAGCTCAAGATGATCAGCCAACCAAGAACACAAACTAAGGAACATGCTGGCCTCGATTTTGGTTCTGAAGAAATGTGGGCGGTGGTTCGTGATTTACCAGGTCGTCTTCCTCGGGGGCGGCGCCGCCGCCGCTGTCGTAGCCGTCCCGGAGCCGCTTGTTCTCCTCCTCCAGCAGGCCGCACCGCTCCTGCATGAACCGCAGCTCCGACTTGATGGTCGTCAGCTCCCGGGCCAGGTTCGCCGCCCTGCCCGCCATCGACACCGCCAGCTGCACCACACAACCATTGGATCATTCGAATCAGCCACCTCAAATTCAGCGGAATCATCCACGAATAAGATCGCGGCGTGGAACAAAACGAGATTCTGCCTGTTCGCGGCCGGCTACTCACACTGCGCGCCCGCTTCAGGTTGGTGCTCTGCGCGACCTCGGCGGAGGTCACGACGACGTCGCCGTTGGGCATCGCGCGCGGTTTCGCGTCCGCCGCGCCGTTGTCTGAACTTTCATTGACGACTTTCTGGGCTTCGAGGCTCGCGAACTCCGTCGAGGCGGTGCAGCGGCGCTTCGCATCGGGCTCCTCCTCCCCGCTCTCGCGTTCCCTCGCCTGGGACGAGCACATGGCCAGAGCGTTCACGCCCTGAAAAAACCGGAGCACACGTCCGGTGTCAGATCGTCGAACAGGAACGGCGAGGGAAGGGAACGCCGGTGGAATCCGTGGTTACCTTCTGGGCGGCGGTGAGGGTGTCGGAGAGCTGCGCGAGGGACGCGGCGACGGAGTCGAGGCCACGGACCAGCATCAGCGAGTCCTCCCGGAGCCGCTTGGGCCGCCCGGACGCCGCCGCGCACTGCGCCCAACAGATCAGAATCAGATCAGAGCAAGCGCGCGTCAGGATCCATCCAGCTCCGGACAAAGAAAAAGAGGGATTTCAACCAGGATCTATCGACCGAGAGCACGCACCGTGGACGCGGCGGAGGCGACGAGGCGGCGGTCCTCGATGATGGTGTCGACGCGGGTGCGCAGGCCGTCCCAGAAGCGGTCGTCGGAGGCGGGGCTGACGACGAGGGACGACGCCGCGGCGGAGTCCATCGGAGGCGGGATCAGAGGACGGACGGGGGAGAAGCAGAAGGAAGGAGGCAGAGTGTTTGTTGGTCGGGCAACGGCTAGTTTTGCTCTGCTCTGCTTCGCGGTGGGTGAGAGTGGGAGGGGGGAAAACCGGTTTAAATCGGGAGCGGGCTGCCAACGGTCGAATTAAAGTGCAGGGTCCATCGTCATGGTGCACTCATCACATACACATATCCAGGATACCGCATCGTCCCAAGACTGGTTCAAACACTTGCTTCAAACCACACAAGTTTGGCTGCTCATGGTTCAGGGGTTAGGGGCGCGGATTCAGTTCGACGGAGTTTCGGTGTCGTGTTCTGTTTACATTTCTCTGGATTCGGAAAAGCGAAACGGGCAGTATTTGATGGCCGTCGCCTTTTTTGTCGGATTATGTGGGGATGTGGGCGTGGCGTCACAAACGGCGCACGTCAAGCTGCATTTGAGAGGAATGTAGTACCGATGTAAGAACCACGTGATTAAAGCCCCGAATGGTACACGACGCTAACCCGCCCGACGTTATAATTACATCTTACAATATATGTATGCATAGAGAAATATGTGTTCAACAAAAAAAATGCTGGTCTATGCAAAATGCGAAACACGATGTGTACATAAACATGTTCTGACGTAATGATGCATTATACACGCACCGATCAAGTATCAATGTTTATACACTTCCAACACGCACGAGACACTAGAGTCGTAGTAAAACAAGGCAAATGAAATAGCAACAGGTATCTTGGTAAGGTAACTCTCGTAGACAAAGATAGCATCCTCCTATTGCAAGTTGAGCATCCACACGTTTGAAATAGATTGGATAGCCCCATTTGAAAGATAGGGAAATCCGGCTAAAAAGGGATTATATTATATTAGCAGTACCATATCGTAACAGCCATGCTCGGACTTGCAGTAAGTTGTATTTGGATGTCAAAATATGTCACCGTATCCTTCTGGGACTCACAATGGGTGGAGGGCCCCATGGCCGAAGCTCCTACGCCATTGCACCAAGCGCCGCGCCGCGCCGTGCCGCCGCCTCTCTCTACAGGAGGCCATCACAAGGGATTGATGGATGCACCTTCTGAAACCCAATCCATCAACTCTGGTGCTGAGGCAGTTATGTTGCTTGTCAGAGATGGCCGCAGGCATAAACTTCAACGACGAGGCGATGGACCCGGTGACTTTGTGTTGGACGGCGGATGGCAGTTACACCGCCAACAGGAATACACATGCCAATTCGAAGGGGTGTTGCATTCGGACGACAAGGCACCCATCTGGTCTGCCGGTGCGGCGTCGCAAGCCAAGGCGTTCCTCTGGCTGGCTGTTTGTGGACGATGTCTCATGGCAGACAACCTGGCTATCCGAGGCATACCGCACAACCCGACCTATCCACTCTGCTTCACCGCGCTGGAGACGACCAACCATCTGCTCGTGGAGTGCATCTACACCAAGAAGTTGTGAACGACTAAATAGTTTGAACAACGAGACACGCAGATCTGACGACCAGAAACACCTAGATCAACAAAATGAATGGCTAGAAACGTTAAACACGCGAGAGATAGGGATTAGGTGCAATTTTCTGTCCTAAATGCATCATTCTAATTGCCTAAAAAAAGGACATTTTAATTGTCATTATTTTCCAGTGGACCCCGATGACTTGGGGGGCGGGGTAGGACAATATATGTTGAATAACTTCTTAAGAATAAGAGCATTCAGCTCTATATGAAACGTGCATAGTAAGAGAACATGAACTTGGGATTGTATGCTCATTTAGATGCACCGTGTTATGAATGATATCATACATGCAACGTTCTAATATCCATTTGCAGGCCTACAATTTTAGTTCCCTTTTACTGCTCGTTACTTGGAAACTACCAGGTAATTGATGCTCTCATTTATGATTCTTGCAACCTACAAAACTCAAACTACTCAATTGTCATCGCCACTAATGAGTTTTACCTATCAAATTTTACATGTGTGGTTGGGAGTGATGGCTCAACTGCTTTATAAAAATTCTCTCACTCCCACCCGTGCAATTACCTCAGACACAAATCTTGGAGGAGTAATTTCTGGGAGCAGTGACTTTTTGGAAACAAAATAAATCAAAATTAGTGGGAGCCTTAGATGAAAGCTACGGTAGATGAGGAGAGAGGGGCGCAGGCGCTAATCTAACGATCGAACAATTATTGTATTGCTTATTAGTAGCAATCGGAGTGATGTAGATTTCGTTTGCCCATGCAGCAGTCACACGCAATGCATCGGAGGGCCACCCCTCCTCCGCTTATTCAGAGGGATAAGGCGCCTTGCAACAGGCAAAGGACGACCGCCCCTTGGAAATCTTGTTGGAAAGGAGCGGCGCTGCGCATACGCTGATATATATACTGGAGCGGTGTGAGGGGTGTAGCCAAGCTTGCTATCGCCTCCCCACCTAGCAATTCACGTACTCCGCCATGGCCCCAGCCGTGATGGCTTCCTCCGCCACCACCGTCGCGCCCTTCCAGGGGCTCAAGTCGACCGCCGGCCTCCCCGTCAGCCGCCGCTCCGGCAGCGCCGGCCTCAGCAGCGTCAGCAACGGCGGAAGGATCAGATGCATGCAGGTATGGAAACTAATTACTTCCTCGTTAATCTTAGTTCAAAACTGCAACACTTATTTTGTATCGGACAGAGTATTATCTTTGCGAGGTAGGACGAACACTAAGGTCATATGAATATTTTTGTCGGCACAGTTGATTAATTCATCAGGTATTTTCCAAAGCTATCCTTAATTAGGATGTGTAACCCACATACCAGGCCAAAGTAAACTAAGATAGTGCATCACAATGTATGTAGTCCGTAAGCAGGTTCACATGTGTAGGAATATTTAACTCATAAACTTTGTGAACGGAAATCGATTTTATCACAACGTGTATTAGATAATATCATTTTTAATGCCCGTACACTACCCATGAGCAAGAGCTGCTGCCCTTGACCTTCTTGCTTGTGGAGCCCCCCACAATGTATGGGCAGACCATAAGGAGTGATTTTTGCCTTATAGCCAGGTCTTTCTTTAAGCACCAAGTGTTGATCAATTGTGTCGACTCCATCTATTCAGGTGTGGCCGATTGAGGGCATCAAGAAGTTCGAGACCCTGTCTTACTTGCCACCCCTCTCCACTGAGGCCCTCCTAAAGCAGGTCGACTACCTGATCCGCTCCAAGTGGGTGCCCTGCCTCGAGTTCAGCAAGGTTGGCTTCGTCTTCCGTGAGCACAACAGCTCCCCCGGCTACTACGACGGTCGATACTGGACAATGTGGAAGCTGCCTATGTTCGGGTGCACCGATGCAACGCAGGTGCTCAACGAGGTGGAGGAGGTCAAGAAGGAGTACCCTGACGCCTATGTCCGTGTCATCGGCTTCGACAACATGCGCCAGGTGCAGTGCGTCAGCTTCATTGCCTTCAGGCCACCAGGCTGCGAGGAATCTGGCAAGGCCTAAAGTGCAAGTTGAAGTAACGCATATACATGCCATGTTAGTTCACATTTGTCGGCAGCGCTGCTTTCTCGGTTTTACTTCTCGTACTACTCATATGTGAATATATGAGTATATGTATGTAAGCACCTACCAATGTAGGTCGAGGAGGATGCATATGAGAATTATAGCACCGGCTATACATACACACATATATTATATGCAATCCGCGGATTGTTGTCTTGCCATCAATTGATGGAAATGTTACTTTGTTTGCAGCTGGAGATGCCTATGTCTTGCATTGTTTTCTTCTCATGCATTTTTCCTCAGTTATATGTTGTGTATTATCTAGTGCGAAAATTGTTATGGAATACCAAAGTACTTCAAAAAATATTGTGGAGAAACACATAAAAAGATGGCTAAGAACCCCTTGAAAACTTGTGGCAAAACAGTTGGAAATTGACGAGAACCAGATGATAAAAAGCCAAAATCCAAATTAAAAACTAGAAAAAAAGGAGAAAAAATGTGTCAAAACAAGACAAGGACAAACCTACCATAGTGCACTTGTCTTGTGAGCCATATTCCAACATCGATTCATCAAAGACATGGCACTTTTTCTAACCATTTTGCACCGCAATTAGATACTATTTTTTTTGCATTATTGCAGAAATTCCAGTAAACCATAGAATGTGTAGAGGACACAAATATGTGCAAATTACACAGTTGACGAGTCCCAAGATATCTTGTACTACTAAATTTTGGCCTTCTACGATGAATTATCTGTGCTGTTTTGTGTTTGTGTCATAAACATCGGTCCTTCCATGACAAAACTATCATTTTGTCATAAACCTACCTAGGAGGCACAAACCCTGTATGTTTCATGACAAAATCCATATCCAGTCATAAAATTAGGAACCAATTAGTTGTAAACAACAATAGCCCATTACATTGTGGAGGTGCACACATGTCTCTAACATGGCTAAAATTATATTAATTTGTATTATTTTTTGGGGTGGATGGCTGTGAGGGGGAGGCTAATTCACGCGCACACGCCCACATGATCAATTTCCGACTAGCTGTCACAAAGGGTTAGGGAATGCGTGTAATAGGTGGGGCTGCTATACTATGTGGGGCCACCATTCTCAGGTAAACAACACACAAAAGTTTGAAAAGGAACATAGCGCAATGTCGGAACCTGACTGCTTCTATGGAGCGCTTCGCCCGTCCCAACGCGCGGGCGAAGGAGTCTTTTTGGATTGTGAAACCAATATGTAAGACCTTTTACTAAATTAGAAAAAATGATGATACCACTTGTCGTAGGAAAGGCCACATCTAATACACGATGGAGTCATACCATCACTTTCTTTCATGTAATGAAACATAAGACTATGGATGACTTTACTTCATGAATTTTAGTGTTGGCCTGGTTTACTCTCATGGCAAAGAATTTCTTCATAATGAATGAGGTGGCCTTATATTTTGATGGTCAATGGTGATCTTATATGACGTTTTAGGGTATTTCTGTGACATTCATTTTGATTTT